GGAGGTGGAGGGAGGGCTGGGGGTGCTGCGCGGCCGCCCCGCCGGGCTTGTACCGGACTCGTCTTCAGCGCTTGTGGGCCTAAAGGGCTCTGCCGCCCTCGCCGTCCGTAGGCCGCCCTGCCCGCGTCGGCCGGGCTCGGCCCCGGGGAGCGGCCTGGGCAGGGTTTTCGCTCCCTGAGAGCGGCGAGGGAGGGTGCAGCTCCCTCGGCGGGGATTCCGGGGGCTGTCTGTCCAGGCGTTCCCCTTGTGTTATTGCTGTGTAGCTCCGTCTAGCTGACTGTCTCACTCATTAGACTTAATTTTTTGTTTTAATTATTCTACTTCGGTGCCTGTTTTTAGGCTCTGCCTCCCCTAAAAAATAAACTTGTGTTATGCTGCAAGTTGACTCCTAGTTAAGTCCGTTTTCTTTCTCCCACTTCTCTTCAACCTACAGACCAACTGTAACCAAATGCTAGTACGAAATACCTATTTCAAGTGCAGTGAGCTCCTCGTTGTTTTAGATGGAGTGTTGGTGAAGAGAAAGGGGATTGCTAAAGACATGAAGGAACCTGTTTTGAGCTGGCAGTTCCTTTCTTGCTTGGCAGTCAGTATATCCAACCCAGCTCTATTTGTGTTGCGGCTCACCTGGTCTAATTGTTGAGACAGTAATGAGGGAGGAGGTTCAAAATGAGGAACAGAAACCTGTAGGAAACCAAGAATTTTTAACTTCAAAAGTCATGGAACAACTTGCTTTTTAAAAAGTAAGTTTTCTTGGAAGTGAATTTTGACCCTGTCAGATGGGTTTTTGTATGGTGTTTTATATTAAGAGAACTGTCTTGCTAGTTCTGTCACCGTGATTGAACGTTAATATCTATTTCTGAAGCTGAGGCATCTCTGGAGTCCAGGCACCATGTCTTAACATCAGCTGATAGTGTTGTGTAACTGTAAACAGTGCAACCACCGTTTATAATGCCAAATAGTTTTGGGTAGATACCATAAATAAATTGTGGTGTGGCTGCTAAACTTACTACTCCTATTAAAACAAAAAAAATAACCCTTCTTTTAGGAATAACAGGAAATTACTCTTTCTCACTCAGAAGCTGCAGCATTAGGTGGGGGGAGTCTGTTGCATTTAAGCACATGTCCTTCTAAAACTTTCATGTTAAAATGGATTTAAGATTAATTTGAAGTGTAGGGATACATGCAGCATAGTTCTGTAGGAATAATATGCTTGTTTCTATTTCAAACAATTTAGTTATTACTCAAATACTTTTTGTTTCTTTGGTGAGGGTAGCAGTAAGGTCTACCAATCCCACTCGTAACATGCCAACTAGCTACAAGTAGGAAACTACCTTGCAGCTCCTTTTCCTCATATTTGTCTCCACATATGCAATTAGCTGGCTTAACTCCCGTGGAGAGATAAGAATTCCCTAAACTTGTCCTGTACAAGAACTGAACAAGTTAATGTTGATATGATAATTCAGACTAGTAGTTTCTTCACAGCAATAAGTGTGTTAAAGTTCAAAGCCAACTACTTTACATTTAGCAGAGAGGCACCGTAATGTCTAGTTCACATGGGATTAGTTGAGTCTTCTCTGTTTTGCAGCTGGTTAAAGAGTAATTCATACTGGAGAAGTGTACCATGTAAACAACAAGCCTGTTGTAACTGCTCCTCTGTAAATATACATGTTTCATGAATAACATGATTCAGTATCCCCCGTATAATATTTTGCTTATGAGTAATTTGACACAGGCAGTTGGTTGAATGCTTCGTTTTCTAGAATCTGTAACTTTCCAGTGAACCAGTGAGCTCCCTGGGAGTGCTTAATGAAAGTATTGTTACTTTTTAAAAATAAAAAATTAAAAGGTAGTTTGGCATGCCAAAATACAAAGCAAGTATGGTTTCACTATTTAAATTATGATGTGTACTGGAAGTCTAAAATGTGTTACTCATTTTTAAGGTGCCTCTTGATTTGAATGTGCTGTAAATGTGAATAGTTCACTCTTTGCTATTTTTTGGGGGGTTAAAAAAAAATTGGCTATTTATGAACTCCCTCTGTGTCTTTTTTTCTACCTTCTTTTGGATAGAGAAGAGGGATGATGGGCTGTGCATGTGGTTTTAATGCTCACCTTGTATTTTATGTTGCTCTGCAAAGCCATCCTAGCATCGGAGAGGTTATGAATTTGCCTAAGGGTGCACTGTTGTGTAGCATTGTTGCTGATTTACTTCATTATAAGAATTTGCAGCTGACAGAAGGCTTTCCTACAGGAGCAGATGCAGTCCCATCGTCCTTTCTTCAGCTGTGTTTTTCAAGCTGTGGTTCAGTAGTTGCTTTCGAGTTAACATAAGGTTGGAAATGTTTGTCTACAAATTCAGTAAAAGTAACTGCCTGGGAAGAGATGTTAGGACCTCGTGTCCTGACTGAAGGAGACATGGCAGTGTGTTCTTGCTTTTTGTAGACAAATTATGCATTGGTGAAAGATAAAACTTGTAACTGCAGGAAAAGCTTTACTGAGAATTTGCTCTGTAGACCTCAGCTCATTCTGTGGGAGAAAGAGTTTGATGATGAGGAAAATACTAATCACATGTGATTCTACAAGACATCATAAATCCACAGAGGAAGGGAGGACATGTCTCTGAAGTTCTCTCTGGAAAATATGCATGCTGAATTTTTCAGGGACACTAATTAGCATGCTAATTCCTGTCCTACTCGAGACTTCTCTTTTGAAGTTGCCAAAGTACAGGAGTGTGTATTTCTGCATATGAATTCTAAAAAGTTTGCAGTGTGAAATATGCCCCCTTCATCATGATTTCTTGCATACAAAATAAATGCCTTGTCATAATTTCCATTTATAGCTGAAGTATCACAAGAGAAGTTAGTCCCTTGAGCTCTGCATTGACTGTTTCTCATTCTTTTCTCAGATACTACGAAAGCAGAGATGCTTCAGAAAAATAATTCTTCTAAAAGTGAGAATGAAACGCTAAGTAGATCCCAAAATTTGACAGACATCTTGCAGAGTATAAGCCCAACAAAAAAAGAGGCAAGCCCAACAAAAAAAGAGGCATTTCCAACAACAGCTAAAATCAATTTGGTGACTGCAGTAAAACCATCTACAGCAAAAGGCGATTCTCTGCCGTATGTTCTCTCTCATGCGGTGACTGCTAGTCCGGTATCTCAAATGGATGTTGATGCTTCTGAAGATACTAAAATTGAGGAAGAGGATCTTCTAACAGATTTGAAAGACACACTAAATAGTTCACCCCCCATCATAAAAGAAACTATGGAGTCAGACGGAGGAGAAGACTATGGTCCTTACGAAATGACATCCAATTCCAGATACAACTCAGACCTCCTAGACATGCCAGAAGATGATGATTCTGACACCATTAGTAATTACAATGAAGAGATCAAGACCCTCGCTGAGAAGATAAAGGATGTTTCTGTCACAGGGTTGGAAGAGGAAGAAGACAGCCATTTCTTTTTTCATCTGGTTGTAGTTGCCTTCTTAGTAGCTGTTGTTTACGTCACCTATCACAATAAGAGGAAGGTAGGTTGGCTGTGACAGGTTGAGAGAAACAGCTTTGATATTTAAAATGAGGTTGCATTGCCTTGTACCCTTTTTTAATAAAGTACACTTTTTTAATAAGAGGAACTTAGCTTTTTGGAGAACAAAACTTTGACCATTTAGTCTCGTTATGATATTTGTATGCAGATTGCTACTGTTGCTTTTTATCTGCCCGGTGAAAATGAACTCGAATTGAACATTTTACATTAGAAAAATTAGTTAATTGATAACATCAGTAATCAGTTCCGTAACGGCCACTGTCAGTGTACACCGTGAGTTCTACAAATGAGACCTCAGTCAAATTGACTGAAGGTGATTTATTAACTAATTCTTTCCCTGCACAGGATTATAAACAGCAAATTAAGGAAGGTTTAATCCTAAATGACGTGGGAATGTTCTTGTTATAACTGTGATAATCTTTGTAATAAGTATTCACTTCAAGGTAGTCTTTATATCATAGATATACTGAGAGTTTAGCTACAGACTTTTAGGAAATGTTCAACACTTTCCAGTTTTACTTAAAGAAGCTCAGCTTTAGTGTTTTCAGGTAGCTGTTTCTTCAGTACAAATGAATTCTCTTCATCTCAAAAGGAGCCTGATTAGCGTTACTTCAAAATAACATTTCTACCATAGAAAATTAACTCCAGCCCAGCCAGACCCAGTGCAGATGCACAAATTTGCGGTTAAATCACTGGTTAGTTTTTAGATATGAGGAAAATTCAGTGTTTATCCTTGTAGAGAACACTGGTTTGGTCAAGGATTTTCAGGACCTTGAAAATAACGCAGCTAAAAAAACCTCCAAAACTCATACTTTACAGTGCAGTGGCGTATCTGGAATGTGCATTGCCAAGTTCTTCACAGGGAAAAAATGTTAAAGACTGTTTGAAAATTTAACCTTTGAAAGCTTAACCTTGAGGGAAGTTCAAATAAGTGATAAAAAAATGCGTTGTCTTGGCTACATAAGTGAAATAATGCTTGTAGTATCCTTTGGGTAGTTGTTGATACTACTTTTTTACACTTAGAAATAATTTTGGGAACAGAAAATACACTAGTACTTTATGTACATAGATATTGGCAGGTAGCTGTGTGAGACAATAGCCAAAGTTTGATGTAGATTCTCCTTTTTCTTGCCCTGTACCCACGTACACCATCCCATTTCCCCTTTTGCCAGTGTAGTTGCTCTCTAGTAAAGTGGATTCTTAGATGATGTTGTTAAGAAACAAAGCTGAATAGGGTGAATAGTCATTTAAAAACCTGATTACTTGAGTGCTTTGATTTATCATACCGTCTTTTTAACTGCTCTGCTGATACCGCTGAAGGGGGCACGGAGCTGTAATGCAGCAGCAGTTTATCACGTTACACTGTTGCCTTTGGTTCAGCACCAGTAATACAATTATTTTTAACAAGGGTGAAATGCCAGAATAGGCAAGATGAATAAATAACAAATGTGACCATCTGGGGATAGTTTAACGGCCTGTATATATAGTACTTCTGAAGTCACACACATATTTTTACTGTAAAAAGAGTTACGGGCTGAATGCTGTGGGTTTTGGCAAACTGCAACTGAGGTTGCCGGTAAGTGACTCGGTGGCAAGGACAGCATGGAAATCAGTGGCTGTTAGTGCCTTGTTTTTATAGCAACAGTAATGCCATTGCCAGGAGCAAGGAACTGTGGTACCAGTAGAACTGTTAAGCTGTCTTTCAAAACCAAACTGTTTCTCCGTAGCATCGTGTAAGTTGGCTGCTTTTTCTTTCAGATCTTCTTATTGGTCCAGAGCCGAAGATGGAGGGATGGCCTGTGCTCTAGGACGGTAGAATACCATCGTTTAGATCAAAACGTTAACGAAGCAATGCCTTCCCTGAAAATAACTAATGACTACGTATTTTGAAAGCACTGTGACTTGAGTTTGTTGAACTTCTCACACTTTGCCTGCCTAGTCATGTAATGATATTCAGGTATTCTAAATATGCTGCTTGTACTGAAATGAGATGTATTCTCTTTGACCTGGATGTTTTTGAGATTAAATCTCATGGAGGATCAAGGGCATGATACATCTGTTTGCTACTTTGGTCAGGTTTTATATCAACGGTAAAATGACAGAGTTTAATAATCAGTGCTCTTTCCATTCATTAAGCATCATCTCTTCTGTCTTGAGCAGTCTTAATAGTGGTAATACAAAAAATAAGCATAAAATATTTTAAGTCTAATAAATTAATGACTTTGTCATCAGTAAATCAAATTAATGATCTTTCTGCTAATCACTTAGATGGCTCATAAATCCCACTATATTTCAAACTTAAAATATAATTACTTTTTCTTTTCTGTGTAAATCCTGATGCTGCAATCTTTCATCTTGTTTTTTTTTTTTTTTGGTTCTGTTTTCATGTTGCATAATTCGATCCTATTTTAGGCAGAATAGCTAGCATGGGAATTTCATAATTCCTCTATGTGTTCATGCAGTAAATAATTTAAAAATAATTATGTATAACCCATTTTATTTCAGAAGTTATATACCATATACTTCTTTAAAACTTTAAGATCTCTGTGAAGATATGCAGCTTCTTGACTGTCCTGTTTTTTTTTATGACTATTTCATTATCTTTTCATTAATGAATGGAAAATAAGCCTTATTGAATAATCTTACTAAAATATAGACAGTTGACAGGCTTTCAATACATCAAAGCTTTCTACTGAATTTTAAGACAGTTGGGAAACAGTTATGTGGTTTGCTGTATTATAAATGGAAGAGGCCTGAAGATGTAAGAGTAATTTATTTTGTGGTTGTTCTGACCCAGGTAACGGGCAGATGAAAGTAACGGTGTGTGGGGCTGCCAGTCTGTGGACAGTGCACTCACATTTCTGACAAACATTTAATGCATTAGTGTAAATCAAGTTACTGGTACAGTAGGTTTGTTTTTTTTTTTTTACCTTGTCTTTTGTACTTGCATTATTTATGTTTTCATGAGTTGTAAAATATAAAATCTTAGTTTTCTGTACATTCTGTTTGTGATTTAGTTTTCAGACTGCTAAATATGTAAATAACGTTGGATCAGAATCCCATAATTAATGACTTGGTATTCAAGTAGTTGCATAACATTTTGAAAAAAATCAACTTTACAGCTGTTGGCATGAGGAGTCTGAAGGCATGATACTGTCTTAGGAATGAAGTGCTAAAAGTTCTAAATCCTACTGTTAAATGCATTCTTCTCATAACCGCAAGAACTAAAGCACAAACAAAACATCCCCAGACTCTTTTCTTGCAGTAATTTTTACCATATTTGGACTTGTATCACCTAATATTTTGAATAAGGTTTTTAAAATAAATGACAATAATAAGCTTGTGTTTTTTCACTCTTTCCCTGCTTTTATACAGTACCTTACGATAAAGAGTTTGCTTGGGATTGGAAAACCAGTTCAAAACCATCTTTTCTGTTACTGATTACATTCACTTGGTCTAGGGGGTGTGTGGAGTTTTGATTTAAGCAGTTGTTGAATGGTATGTAGAGTAGATAGCAAGGCTTAAGTGAAATCTTTTAAGCTGTAGGAATGAAGTTCTTTAACAAATAATTTTTTAATCTAAGTTGTATAATTAGTAATTCTTGCTACTCACATTAAAGCAGAACATTGCTGTGGTCAAGATCCAAAGGGAAAGGTTACCTTGCAAAGCTCCTTTAGGCTGTTTAAATGTTGGATTCGGAGTGGAGGAGGAGGTGGTTAATGTTTTTGCATCCAGTAAGTTCAGTAGCTTTCTCCTTAAATAATATTCATAAAGTGTAGTGGTTTTTGACAGTAGAGAATAGTATGTTCACACTTTGCAGAACACTTGTGTTTCCTTTCAGCTTGGTACTGCAGGCCTTAGAGAACACCCTGTGCAGAAGTACAGCGATACTCACGTAAAAAGTTTCATTTCAAATGTCATTTTCTCTTAAACACATCCAGTGAATTAGGCGGTCAAGGCAGATGTTACACTTTCAGCCACCTGACTGACTATAATAGCTAGAATACTGTTTAAAAAATGTAGAAAATTAACAGTGACCTAAATTAGTAGAAATAAGGGTAATTTTGTTGATTCCTGGCATTCATAGATGTGTTACTTTATTCCGTCTTGGATGTCTTCCAGAACTCTTGTCGCATAGTTCAACTGGCTGAGTCAAACCAATCTAAATGTTTTTCTTCCAGGCTTACTGAACAAATAACAATGTCCTCTTTAAGACTATATGTTAATACATTGGTGGAAAAATCCTGCATTTCCTTGCCCTCCCTCGAATTTTTTTGTCCTTGTGAAAAGACTGTCTGTAGGGAAGAGAAATTTATTAGCTTTCCAGCTTTTGAGGTGTTTTCCTTCCAACAAAGCCACTCTTTTAAATCCCTGTACCTTTTGCTGGAGGAGGGCTGCACGCAGCTAGTAGCGACGAGATTGCTCTTTGTGAGCTTTGCAGGGAAAACTGTCAGAGGCCTAATGTCAACTCCATTACTAAACCTACTTCTTCGCAGTCTGTTTTGCAGTTCATCGCATTTTAAAATGCTCTTGCGTTTAGCTGCGCTCTGACAAAACTTGTCCCCCAGATTTAGTATTTATTAGGAGCACGTAACAGTATTTAGGCCTAATGGACTGCAACTCGCTGTGGCTGTACTGCAAATGTTAATAAATTCTCTTCTGAAATTGTCCATTTAGCTGTCTTCTCTGAAGATGCCCTTGCAGGAGCTTACCTTAGAGGAGAAAATCATACCTTGAGCCTTTTGCTTTCGGTAGTCATACCAGTACTGAAATCTTTCGGGTTAGTTAACTGGTCTTTGAGGCCATGAAATCATGGCTCACGTGTGTCTTCTCTAGCAGAGTGCAGCTTTGCCTCACTCCAAGCCCTGAAGATGAGCAGTGATTCTTCGCTTGCTCTAGCTATTGTGCACATCCTCTTTGTGTCACAAGCAAGCAAAATGTCTTTTAAATATTTATACAATTTTTTTTTTTTAATAAAGCTCTTTACTAACGGTACTGAGGGCTGCTTATTCAAAAGTTTTTAAATTCACAGGGAATTAATGTGAATTTGAAATCCTTGAAGTGCTTTAAACAGGTTTCATGAGGAGAATTGTCTCAACAGATTCTCTTCTAGGATGTTAAGGTGTTTTAAATACTTGAGGTGACTCTTGCTCCATCAGGGGAACAGTGATTATAGCAAGTTGTCCCAAGAGATAGGTTTGGCCATACCAAAGCAGAAAGTTTGAGGATACCTCTAAGCAAATTAATGTAGGTAATGATGCATGTGGAATATCACTATTCTTAAAACATGTGGATCTGCTCCAGCATTCAGCTAATGCTGCCGGTGCAACATAGGGGCTGCAGTGCCCGTTAACATGGGTTATTTGTGCCCTGAAAACGTGATGCTCAGTAATCCACTTGTTACCCAAGACATCTTGCCATCCAGTCCCTGCAACATGGCATATATTTGCTTACATGCACTCGTAGCAAGATAAAACCAGAAGCAAAGTTAAAAACCAGTGAACTCTCACCTCCCCCCTGGCTAATGGCTGTGCTGAATTGCTTCTCCAGCGTGCTTTGTGTCACTGTCACCTTGGTGTTGTAGGCAAGGGCCCGCACCCTTGTACAGACCAAAGATTTGAAATGCATACGGTGACTTTGACACGCTTTTTTCCAGGATGTTTTTTCATTTGCAATAGCCCTTGGATTGTTGCCTGAACAGGGGAAGTGCCGTGCTGAATGGACTTGGGTAGTTGATAACGCTGTTTCCTGATAGTACCAATAAAAAGGGAAAGGTGACTTGTGATCTGGTTTTATAAGGGCTCCAGCAGCACCGGGAGAGTGGAGCATATGTCATCCGTTGTGCAGTAAAAGAGCCATTTGCTGATGAGGTAATCAGGATTGAACAACTGTTTTTTAATTTCTTTAATTGAATTTGCTTGTGGAAAATTAAGAGCAGGCAATCAAAAATTCATAAAGTGTGATGATCAAGCAGAGGAAAAAAGCAAGCAGATTTATGTCAGATCTTGCCAATGAGAAATGTCTTGATGAATTTCTTTACTGAAGAAAGGAAACTTTCTCACATTAAGGTGAATTATGACTTCCATCAATATTCTGATAAAAGAAATAAAATATTCCTGAAGAGCTTTCTGATTAAACTTCTCAAGATGAAAGTTGAAGCTCTATTTATGTAGGTTCTCGTGAGTGGTTCAGTTTTATGAAATGAGGAAAGAAATAATGAATAGGATAGTTTAAACAAATTATACATTTCACTTTTACTATCCAGGAAATCAGGTATTTTAAAATATTTATAGTTTAATTTTTATTTAGCACCAGTGCATATTATTCAGCCAAGTCAGCTGTCCTTGGCTGCTGCTCAGTTGTACACAGGGTGAATAGAGAAAGGTTTATCTGAGCAGGGTCGTTTGAGTTATGGGAAATTAATTTGCAACGTGGAGATGAAAAATGTGATCTCGCTCAAATAAATTTAAATGCTACAAAAATAATAGGGGAAAGGAGTATTTCTGTGGCTCTGTCACAGACTATTATTAATATTAGAAGGAGAAGGGCGATGCTTTTACAGCTGTAACTCAGGCTTGGGAAATGTTTGCTTAGTTTCCAAGTGGGGAGCAGCACAGCTGCAGGCCAAGGTGGAGAAAACATTGGTTGGGGATTTTCCAAGTCATGGTCAGTTCAGGAAACCTGCGATGACCCCCAGTGGGTGAGGTTTTATTAGCCTGATTGTCCGTGAAAAGCTGGCATGCTGGGCAAAGAGAAACCTGGCTGTCAGCTGGAACTCGTTTGGGCCTCAATTTTCTGCCTAAATCTGTTGCTCTGGGGAGGGTGCTGTGATCCTGCAGTTCTTGCTCCCCGAGGGAAGGAACGTGTCCTCCCGGCAGGGTTCTTCTGGCTGAGCTGCTGTCAGGAGGGCGGTGGGATGATTCCCCCGGATCGCTGGCAGCAGGGTTGGGTTACTGAGAGCTCCTGCCACCCTGAGAGGAGGCTCTTGCTTCCCTTCGCCATGCTCCCCTGCTCGGGAAGGTAAGCAGGTTCCTACTCCAGTAAAACAATTCCTCTTTCTTTTTTAATCTTTCTTCTTCCTGGGTTGATTTAAAGTCATTTTGGGGCACTGAGCTGGTTTACCATACAGCACCATACCATACCATACACCAGTGCCAGAGCTGGCTCAAGGCAAGCGATGGGATGTGTTTAGGACAGAGATGGGGATGTTCTCCATTCAGTAGCAAGAAACTCTTTAATTCAGATTCTCATTAAGCCGTTATTAAACTATGTTGTAAACCCAAGCCCAAACAAGAGCATTTTACACTGTAGATTCTAGGTGAGCTACTGGTTGCTGCAGTCTCAGCATAACGTTGGGTTTTGTTGCTAAAAGACCAGGCCAGCCTGAGGATTTGAGTTTTCTTTGGGTTTGGGTTGGTTTTTGTGGTGGTTTTCTTTGAAGGGAAATCCCTGAGCGGACTCAAGAGGGAGGCTAAAGGGTGGTGCTGCCCTGTTGCAGTGATGGTGTGGGTATGGTCCTGCTTGGCTCTGCAGCTTCCTTCTCCTGTCCCAAATCCAAACCGAAGCTGTATTTTGTGCTCCTACAAAGCTGAGTAGCTTTATGGGCGTGCTAAATCCTCATGTAAGGCTGATAGAGCAGTAATCTTCAAGACCGTATATCCCAGCCGCCACAAAGCAGCAGAACTGATAACCTTATCCTTACCCCTTTTCTTTTACAATCAAGTGTCCTTTAAAGAGAAGTCCCTATACTGGTTTTTGTTAAACTTTTCTGATACAGAGCATATGAATGTCCTCACTGTGATGAGAAATGGTTAATATCAAGACTTCTCAGCTTCGCTGTTTCTAGTATATCTAATTAGAAAGGGAAGAATTACATCTTTTCTGTAATTGGTCCTTAAATCATTATCAAAATCATTTAGCAGCTTCTTTAAACTTATTTTTAATTACAAGGTCTATTGCCTTGTTAAGTTCTTAACACTGAAACTCACTAATCTTGGCAATTCCTATCTTTATTAAAATGAGAATACAAAGGTTGCGTTACCCTTATTGAGGTGCACTCCTTGAGGTTTTATTAAAGATTAAGTGAAACCAGATTTAATCACTTTACTATTCTGTAAACAGTGTTGAAGTGGATGTGATTAAGCAATTTAAGGAAGCTGGTGGGGTTACGAACTGAAGCTCAGGTGCACGGAGGTACCAAGGATGCTGAAATATTTTGAATTCAGATTACACGAATTAGGGGACTCTCCTGCATTTCTTGATCGCAGAGCCGGTACTCGTTATCAGCGAGCTCTGCGAGGCAGGGGAATGACGTTGTAGATTCTTGTTAGCACCTTACTGCCTTTCATCTT